GCTCCCCCGCCCATGCACACACACACAAATCAAGGGAGCTTTATTTGACTTGTGCTTTCAGAGGGTCTCAGTCCCTAATCAGTTGGCACCAGAGTAAAAGCAGCATGGTGGGCTGGGGAAATCCAGCTCAACCATGACATCCAGGAAACCAAGAAGGTGGGGCTGGGTAAAGCCGTAGCCTTCCGGCTCATGTCCTAATGACCCTGTAGATAGGCTGTACTGCACACATGCAGCTCCAAGGTGCCCCATAGTCACACGCCTCCCAAGAGCCCTAGCTCCAAATTGCACGGCTTTTGGGGAATCTCCAGTATGAAGTGTGGCGAGGACCTAGGTGGAGCAGAGTGGAGGGCGCCCTGAGCAGCCCATGTGGAGCGAGCTGTGGAGCCCCAGCACGGTCATGGTCCTGGGCAGTTACTCTCCAGAGTGCCCGTTTTGGTACTTTTTGTTATTTGGTTGTGTTTTTTGTTTTTTGTTTTGTTTTTTTGCAGAACTGGGGATTGAACTCAGGCCCTTGCGCTTGCCAGGCAAGCACTTACTCTACTGAGTTATCTTCCTGGCCCCCCCATTTGGGGTTTTTGAGACATGGCATTGGCTATGTAGTTCAGGCTGGCCCTGAGCTCTGTGTGTAGCCCAGACCACTGTCAAATTCAGAGCTATACCCCTGCTTCAGCCTCTCCAGTCCCGGACCACAGGCATGTGTGCCATGTGTCTTTCTCTGGTTTTCTTCTCCTGTCGTGGCAGGGTTGTGCTGTGGTGTCACCATCTGTTTTCTTGTGTTCCGGGGAAGCATGGACAATAAAGGAGCATTTGTAGACCTGAGTTGTGTCCCTGGCAGGGACCCCACTCTGACTTCGGAGAGAGCATCTGGCTTCTTTTGGCCTGTTGCAGGTGCTCCTGTTGCCTCCCATTCTTGGGATGAGGCCTCTTACTTGGGATTCCTTTGAATGTTGAGTGTGACATCAGAATTTGATCCCCAAAATCTAAAATATATGTCAACTGAGCATGGTGGTGCAGCCACACACCACTTGGGTGGCTGAAGTAGGACAGTGGAGAGTTCAGGGATAGCCTGGGCTACATAGTGAGACTGTGTATTTTATTTTCCAATGAAATAAAAATTAAAGGCATGTCTTCGTCACAGTGGTATAAGTCTATGTCTTTGAGTATAAGGTCAGTGTGTGTGTTGGCTACAGTGTGCTGGAGGTTTTTGTTTAGTTTCTACTCAGTTGTGTGTCATATAGTCATGTTCCTTCTATCTGTTCAACTGACCCTTCCCTTTGAAAGACAAGTAGCTGCTTGCGTTTTTCACCTGTACAGACACTGCTGATGCTGTGAATACCCACGTTGGTGCTTCCCAGTGTTCTCGGTGGACAGGCAAGAGGGTTCTCCTGGCAGGGACATGCCCATAGTGAGACAGGAGAGAACCTCTTTTCTATTGCACTCTGCTAAACCAGAAATGGCCTTTGTCTTGCTGTTGAAGTTATACTAGTTCCTGATTAGCACTGAGCTGAGAGTAGTTTCAAATGCATGCTGGGTATTTGTGCTTCCTCTTTGGAAAAGTGCTTGTTTATCATGTTTGCTCAGTTTTCTGACGTGGCTTCTCTTGAGGGTCTTGTGCGAGCATGTGGCATGGGTGCAGTGCCTCCTCTGCATTGAGCCATGCCGTTGACTACACAGCTCTTCCTCTGCACCCTTTTGTTTTGCTCCTGTAGCAGAGGGAACTTATTCTCTAGAACTTGTCCCTTGCCCTCACCCTAAGTAGGCCCAAGAATAGGGGCACATAGCGCACCTGGCACAGCATGGTGATTCTGAGACTGAGGATTCCAGGCAGGTCCATGCCCCAAGTACTTAGGAGAAAGAGTAAGAACTGAGGTTGGGGGACAGGCCAGCATACACACACTGTACATGTGCCCAGCTGTGCCCATACACGGGGCTGGGGAGTCCTGTCCAGTGTTGCGTTTTGCTCAGCTCTCCCTTTCCAGCTGACTCCTGGGTGCACCCTGAGCAGGTAGAGTGCAAGGCCTGGAGCAGGACAGGGCTATCTCGATACTCCTCTGAGAGGTTGCAGGCAGGCTTCAGCTGGTTTCGCCAACATGATTGCCAAGTGGTGTGATAGGGGCTGCATGGGGCCTCCTGAAGTTTAGTCTGAAGGACTGAGAGTAACTGCTGAAAATAACAGGAATTCCATCCTGGATGTGTGTGACTAGGGGCAGTGTGCTGTGAGCAGTCAGCGCCTTGATCTAGGGTGTCTGCAAAATGAGATCCCAAGGTCTGGGGTTGAAGTGTTGGCTGGGGAGCCAGCACGGGACCTCAGAGGCCAGCCACAGATGGGTGTGGGCTCTGTGAGGGAGGCCTGCCTGACAAGGCCACACTGTGAGGTATGGTCAGAGCTCATTCTAGGACCTGGGTGGCGGCAAGGTCAGGCTTGGACTGTGGACGTGGGCCGTCATGGGGGCCCAAGCCCAACTAGGTAAACTTGGGTTCTGGGGAGAGCCACTGAACAGAGCTACAGGCACATTGCAGGAGGTGAAGGAGAGCTTGGCAACCACTGGAGGGATGTGAGGTGAGAAGTGGCTTTATTTCAGGCGTGAGGTGTGCTGGCCTCAGTACAGCTAAGAGATGGATATGGTGGGAGCTGTGGGGTCCCTGGGGAGGCATGGTGGGCTCACCTGTGCTTGGCTCCTGAAGCCTCTGAGCAGCAAAGTGTGCAATCCAGGAAAGGGAAGAGCTGCGCTGCAGCAGGGTGAGGTGGTCTTGGACTTCTGGGGTGTCTGGGCACATCAGGAGTTGAGGGGCACCAGGGAGTGGGCCAGTGGTAGCCGAGTGGGCCGTGGAGCCACAGTGGTGGAAGCCAGGTAGAAAGAGCTGGGAGGGAAGAGACCTGAGGCCTGAGCTGTCTCGTGGGTGATGGCGACTTTGCTTTCTGTTTTGGTGCAGGTGGCTATTATCATGGAAAGCTGATTTTCCCCAGAGAATTTCCTTTTAAGCCTCCTAGTATTTACATGATAACACCTAATGGAAGGTTTAAGTGCAACACGAGGTAAGCTTCCTAGTTGCGCTAGTTGCTGTGGTGCTCTGCCAGCCTCCTGGAGGTGTGCACTCCTGCTTACCAAGCCCTTTTCCTGCAGGCTGTGTCTCTCCATCACAGACTTCCACCCTGACACGTGGAACCCAGCCTGGTCTGTCTCTACTATCCTGACTGGACTGCTGAGCTTCATGGTGGAAAAGGGCCCCACCCTGGGCAGTATAGAGACATCGGACTTTACGGTGAGGGTAGTAGCACCCCACCTGGCTTCCTGTGCACCCTGGCCTTTGATCTCACCCTGAGGCTGGCTGTTCCCAGACACTTGGCTGCCACTTTCCTTGGCAGGCAGAGACTTCGTGGGCTTCCACTGGCCTCTGTTCCTGCTCCTTGTGGAACCTGCTCTGCTCTGGACTGTCTGCCCCTGACTCTAGATTATGTTTGTTTTGTTTTGTTTTCCTAGTACTGGGGATGGAAGCCAGGGCATTGTGCATGGTAGGAGAGTGATCTGCCACTGAGCTACATCCGTAGCCTCCCTCCTGCACAGTTTTTTTTTGAGACAGGATCTTGCTAAATTGTCTGAGTATGGCCTCAAACTCAGTTCCTCAAGTGGCTGGGATTACTTGTGTATGCCAAGTACCGTATCTGCCTTAGACCCTGCATTTAATCCCTGTGAACCATGCTCACAGCCTGAGGGTCTTCCTCAGGGAACTGGGGGAGAGGGAGGGGCATGTGTGTCTATTCTTGTCAGCTTGATTTATGTTTTCAAAATAGAAATTGAGCTTAATGTTACTGATAATAAAAAGATTAATAAGCCTTCATGGCACTGGTTTGTTGTAAAGAAAGAGCAAGTTCATTATTCGCTTTCTACAGCATGAAGACAAACTTTTTTTTTTTTTTTTTTGCGGAACCCCGGATTGAACTCAGGCCCTTGTGCTTGCCAGGGAAGCACTTATTCCACTGAGCCATCTCCCCAGCCCAAGACAGTCTATTTTTAAAGTTTTTAAAGAATTAACTTTCTGGCTGATATTTCCCTTCTCTTTCTTTCTAGAAAAGACAACTGGCAGCACAGAGTTTAGCATTTAATTTAAAAGATAAAGTTTTTTGTGAATTATTTCCTGAAGTTGTGGAGGTAAGAAAGTTGAAAGTTGGGACTCAGTTCTGTTTTTTTTTTTAATTTATTTGTGTGTGTGTGTGTGTGTGTGTGTGTGTGGCCAGCTCAGCCCACCAGGGGGCCTGGCTGGCTGGCATGTGGTGCTGGGGGATTGAACCGTGGTCCCTGTGCTTTGCTAAGCTTGTTCTAAGTAGGTGCTTTAGACCACTGAGCCATCTCACCAGCCCCTGTTTTTCTTTTTTATTTATTTATTTATTTATTTATTTTTATTTATTGTGCGTGTGTGTGGCCAGCTCAGCCCACCAGGGGGCGGGTCTGGCTGGCATGTGGTGCTGGGGATCGAACCGCGGTCCCTGTGCTTTGCCAAGCTTGTTTCAAGTAGGTGCTTTAGACCACTGAGCCATCTCTCCAGCCCTGTTTTTCTTTAAGTTAAAAACATTTTCAGATTCTATTCTTTCCAAAGAGAAGATGTGTGGGAGCCCCTCAGGGGCGCAGGGCGTGGAGGGGCCTCTGTGCTGAGTGTCCTGTGCCTGGAGCTGAGGATAAGGCCGGCGGGGGGGGGGGGGGGGTCTGCGGCACTGCATCACACCTCCCTGGCTGTGTCACATGGGTGATAATTTTGCCGCCTTGCTTGGTTCCTCTCCCTGTGGACTGGGGTTAGGAGCCGCGCCTGCTTCCAGGTGTCAGAACTTGGCCTGTGGAATAGAGAGCTTCAGTTGTGTGACAAAGCTGGGACCCAGGCCTGAAGTGCAGCTCCTGAGGGACTGATTTATTCAGACCGAGCTTGGTTTCTTTTGTTTTTCTTTTAGGAAATTAAACAAAAACAGAAAGCACAAGATGAACTCAGTAGCAGGCCGCAGACTCTACCCCTGCCAGATGTGGTTCCCGACGGGGAAACGCACCACGGCCAGAACGGGATCCAGCTTCTCAATGGGCATGCGCCTGGTGCTGGCCCAAACCTGGCAGGGCTGCAGCAGGCCAACAGGCACCATGGACTCCTGGGTGGCGCCCTGGCGAACTTGTTTGTAATAGTTGGGTTTGCAGCCTTTGCCTACACGGTCAAGTACGTGCTGAGAAGCATAGCGCAAGAGTGAGCCACAGCCCAGTTACCTCGGGGACAAAGGTACCAGAGTTTGACTTGGGCCAGCGGGACATGCTGTCGAGCCAGGGCAGGCCCACCAAATTCCTGGGTTTCACTTTTTAAAAACTTTAAAAGGAAAGCAAAAACCAAAACGTGTGATTTGGAGGAAATTCAAGATTCTCAACTTTTCTCACCCAGTGAAGCATCTACCGGGGGCTGGCATCGTTGACAGCGGCACATGCTTTGGTTTTATGGCTTATCTCCTGTATTGTCTTTTGGACCTGTTTAGTAAACCTGTTTTTCATTTTATTAGACCTGGTCACTTAAAAATACAAAGTCAATGCCTGTCTCGCACCCTCTGTGCGTCCTTAGCGGAGCTCTTGCCTCCCTGTAAGCTGGAGGCTGGAGGTGGAGCCGGTACTGGGAACGCTGTCCAGGTGGTAGGGGTTGTGTTGGTTGGCCAGTGATGGGTCCAGGAGAGGTGATTGGGACTCACCATAACAATGTGCTTGTGGTCCTTCAGAATGAAACAGAATCCTTCCAGAAAGTGTTTGTGCATTTCTCGGGCATGGTACAAGCCTGCACTCCTTGGGTCTGGCCGCAAGGAGTCGCCCTTTACCTAGAGCTGCCATGACAAGGCCAGAGGCAGGTGGCTGCTAGAGCTGGCTATGTGTGCCTCAGCCTCACTCTATAATCAGCTTCCTTTCAGCTCTCTGAGTGCTGTGGAGCTGCAGGTCCTGGGTCCTGCAGAGCCTTTTCTCTGAATTCTCACACCTAGCTGGCTGGACCCTGCCCTCCTGTGCTGGGCGAGGGTGGGAGACCCAGGCCCTGTGGGCTGGTGCTGTGTACGCTGAGGCTTCCCTCCACTGGCCCCAGTTCCTCTGTGATGGCCCACACTTTCTGCCTGGTCACAGAAAGTTAGCTGCCCCAGAGGCATCCGGACTGTGTTGGCCTCAGCCTTCTGTGTTGTCTTCATCTCCTTTTTCAGCCTTTGGGTTTAGTGGTGCCACCTGCACACATGTGCGTCACAGAAAACCAATGTCTGTAAGGCACCAGGTGGGGGCAGTGCTGCTGTGTCTAGGGTGGACACAGGCCCCTGGTACCCCCTCGTTCTAGTGTTGAGCAGTGGAGCTGGGTGCAGCCTCTATGCTCATCTCTACTGTGTTTTCTAGTCGGTTTATTTAAAGTTGCCCTGTCATTTACCACTTGTACATTTGACCTACTCTTGTGAGAGCCCTTTCATTGCTCTTCCCTTCCTAAATCCCATACTGTATGTGTTGTGTTAGAGCAGACACGAGTCCTCACTGGGTGGCTTAGAGCCGAGTGTCTGTGGTGAGGCCTCCTCTCCCAGCGGCTTCCTGACCCTGCACCTGTGCTGCCTGCCTGGCCTGGGGCTTTGGTCCCAGAGGTGCCTGTGTGTAGCTGAGGTGCACATGCCTTCCTGTGCTGGATGCCGGCTACTTGAGGGCACCTCTCTGGCCATTGGTGCCAGTTTCCTGAGGCTCTTGGGGCAGAATGCTAGCATACTTAGCTTGGACCTAACACATTATTTTCTGTACGTGAGATCTCAACTCTTAACAGCTCCTGGTCAGTGGTGACGGACCCTGTGGTGCCCACAGTGTGTTGCCTGCACTGACTCAAATAAAAGGTGACCTTTGTCCTGTTGGACCAAGTGTGTGTGATGTTTTTTCTGTGTTGCTTTCCCTGGGAGGAGATGGGGCCTTGGAGTAACTGAAGAATACGTTTGGGTGCCCTAGCTGCCCCCGTCTTGGGCAGAAGGAAGAATGCCCTGCAAACTTAGGCTTTGTGGCGAAGGGGAGCCAGTGCCTTGCAGGGAAGCTCCAGCAGTCTCCTGCTGTACCTTTGGGAAAACACCCCCAGACTGGCCTTTGGGATTTGGTAATAATGCAGGTAGTAACACAGTTTGTGTCCTCTGCCCTGCTGGGGGTCCCTGCTTGGGCCCTTGTTCCAGACCCTGGCAGAATTTGGGTTGGGGACTGGGTGAGAGGAGTCTGTAGCCCCCCCCCACCCCCCCCCAAGCCTCCATTCCATGGGGCTGGAATCTGGGGAGTCTGTGAGCCTAGGTGCATGACTTGGGAGGGAGTCTGTGGGCTGCTGAGACCAGAGAGCTGGTGGCTTCTGTGGAGCCCACCCCTGCAGGACAGAGTTGGAGTCCTCTGGCAGCACTGCTGTCAAGCCTCAGGAAAGTTAGGCCAACGGGATGTAGGTGGCCCAGGCAAGCAGGGTGCCCTCCTGGGAGGAGTGCCTGGAGGCCCTGTGTCTCCTGGTGGGAGCTCGGAGCCACACCCATGGGATGCGCTTTCCCTTTAGGAGTTGTGGGTTGGAGTTCTAGGTGGGCTGCCTTGAGGGTGTGGCTTTCTCCACCTTCACCTGGCCCACTGGCTGATCCAGGAGGGCTGAAGCCTCTGGAGCTTGGATCCCCTGCTGTCCGTCGAGGTGACACCTAGCCCAGAAAGGGGGTGGACATCTCCAGATACCTCCCACCCCAGCTTTGTCTTGGGCAGCTCTGCCTCTGAATGTGGCCTGAGGCGGGGTCTGCTGCTTGGCCACCTTCACTGGTGGGCCCAGGAATCAGGGTGGGTCAGGAGCTTTGCTGTCTGTCAGAACCCAGATTGTTATAGCCAGTGTGCCCACCTTCTGAGTTCTTGTGGGCCAACACAGTTGCTGGCCATCCTTACCCGTGTACTGATTGGCGGGCAGCCTCTTGAGGACCCCCAACCCATTACCACTGAGGCAGCAGGGTCTGGGCCAGCTGACCTACTGTGTGCAGCCTGGGAGTGATTAGGAACCTGGGCTTTCTGGGGACTGGCTGCTGTCCCACCCATCTGGTGGAAGGAAATCCTGCTGGTCAGAGTGGAGGGTGCAGTTCATCCCACAGTGTCCACTCAGCACGGCTCAGTGCTGAGCTCCCCAGGGAAGGTGTGAGATTCTTTGCTCTCTAGGAGGGGAACCGGCAGGCTGGGCCACCTTCCTGACATCTGCCCCTTCTGTATGGGCCTTGCTCTCCCTGTTGGTGGCTGGAAAGGATCGTAGCAGAGCCCTGTGAGTGCAGCTGTCCTGCAGGGGTGCCGCATGGGGCAGGTGGGTCGTGGTGGGGGCTGGGGACTGTACACAACTCCCAGGTCGTGTCCTGGGCTCCTAGAGAGGGTGGGTGTGAAGTGCCTGGGGGAAGGAGGGTTCGAGGGCGGGGTGGGCAGGGGGCGGGAAAAGCCCCTGGCGGAGCCTGTTCCCAAGGAGGGCGGGGTGGTCATCTGGGTCCGCCTCTGTTCCGCCCTACTGAAGGGTGCGGGCGGGTAGGCCATGTGAGCCCTCCTCTCAGGGCCCCCTCAAGGCTTATTTGGCTAGGACTCTGCAGAGAAGGCCTGGGACAGGAGTGTGTGTTGTCGCGCTGCCCTCGCCCCGCAGAGCAGACATGCACTGGCGGCGGCCGGGCGCGCCCCTGGGCCTCGCGCCCACGCGGGGGCTCTGAGGCCGCCGCCCCCATGAGAGCGTCTGGGTGCTGAGTGGCGCGAACTGAGCCATGCAGCGCTGGACTGCAGCCGCGGCCGTGGCCCTCCTCTGGTCACAACTCACGCTGCTTAACAGTGTTGGGGCACGGCGGGAGCCCAAGAGACCACACCCGCTGGGCCAGCGTACAGAGTCACCCAACACCACGGTGCCCGACAGCGAGGGACTACTGGGCTCTGCTAAGGTATGCGCTGGTCTGGGTTCACATGGGCATGGGCCCTGCCCCCAGGCCGTCCTCTCCAGCCATAACTTCTGTCCCTGTCTTGGTTGGACCTGCCTCCAGGGAGCCCCTGTACCTGGCAGCCAGTTCCTGCCTCTGTGGGTCTGGAAGGGTCTGGAAAGGAGAGGGCCAGCCGCCCAGGGGCCTCAGTCCTCCCTGTGAAGCCCCCGGCCCCCTTAGGTATGATAGGAAATTCAGCTGGATTGGGGAGGAGCTTCTTGCCACGTGGGTCCCCAGAACCTGTATAGGGAGCGTGCTGCTGGCACCTGAGGCTGAAGCCAGCACAGTGAGCCTGTGTGCCCTGTGCTTCTGGGGCCCACATTCCCTCTTGGGCAGAGGATTTCAGCACACTGGCCACAGGGTGTCCTGCTGCTGCCAGTGCCCCTGCCCGGCAGGTCCTCCCATCCCATAGTTGGATCTGGGTATCTCTCCCAAGGGAGGTTGGTTCCATGGTGGCAAGCCAGGGTGCTTCTTGGCCCACACAGACCCCCAAAGCCAGGGGCTATTTTCCACATGAGCAGGCTAGGGAAAGCGAAGGGGAGCAAGCTTTGGTCAGAGTTGGGAAGTGGGGCATGCTGATAGGACTGGGGTCCAGAACAGCCCCAGTCACTGCCAGCAGAGGAAGTGACCTTGGAAGCAGCTTACTTGTCTGTTCGCAAGGGTGGTGCAGCAAAGGGAGGGAGCCAGCTGTGTGGCCCCATGTCTTTCCTTCCTGCTAGAGAGGCCAGTGGGCATTAAGGGAGGGGTATTGGCCCAGAGAACAGCCAGAGACTGAATTGTGAAGCAGTGGGGTGCATTCAGATGCTCCTGCTTCTTTTTCCTTGCCTGCTCTTTTGGCTGCAGCCAGTTAGGATAGAAGCCTGTCTGGCTACCAGTAAGGGTTGAAAGATAGGACACTGTTCCCAGCTTCCAGGTGGGCTGTTGGCCTGTCTCAGGACCAGACCCTTCCTGGCAAGGTGAGGGCCCCTGGAGCAACCAGGCTTTCCCAGGTAGCCTGCTCCTGGCCCTTCCAATCACCTCCTGCCAGTTGCCTGATTGTCCCCTGAAGTGGGCTTGGTCCCCCACCAGCCACACACTTCCCAGCCTACTCCCCTGTATTCTCTTTTGTCACCCAGGGCCAAGCCCATTGTCGACACATTAGGCTAGCGTGAAGCTGCATCTCTGTGTGCACCCAGGCATGTCCTTCTGCATGGGTACATGGCCAGGAGTCATACACACACCTACACAAGCCCAGGGTGCCCGGGCATTAGGCCCTGCTCCACAGAGGCCAGGTCCTTGTCTTCTTGGTGCCACTGCCCACCAACATATATGAATTCTCTGCCAAGGGATGGCTGTGTTCCTCTGGGCTGCATGGGTCCTGTGTCGTCTTCCTGTGAGCCTGAATATCCCCAGTGACCTGAAGTCTCAGCTCTCTCTGGGGCACAGGGGCAGAGGCTAGCATGCCTGATGGTCAGTGCACTAGCCCTGTTCCTGGCTGTCTAGCCACTGGAGGCCTCAGGGCCTGAGTTCTCAGATGCCCACATGACATGGCTGAACTTTGTCCGTCGGCCAGATGATGGGGCTTCCAAGAGACGGTGCCGGTGTCGGGACAAGAATTTGGTGAGTCCCTGGCCACTTTTGACCCTTTCAGGGATCTGAGCCCAGGGCAGGAGGTGGCTGTGCCTCCTACCAGGTCCTTCACCTTCTCTTCCTGTCTCCTCACAGCGAGGCCTCTTAGGTCCCCCAGGCCCCCCTGGGCCCCCTGGACCCCCAGGTCCTCCTGGTGCCAAATTCACCCCTGAGGCCCTGCTGCAGGAGTTTCAAGAGATGCTGAAAGGTAAGGCTGCTGGCAGCTCCTGCTGGGTTCTGAGGCCCCATCAGCCTGAGAGGGGTGGACCCCCATCGCCTTCCTCCCCACAGAGGCTGCTGAGCGACGGTTCTCAGCACTGCTGGACACATGGCTGCCTCAGGTGGGTGGCCGGCAACTAATGGTTGAGGCCTTCCACTGCCGGCTGAAGGGCCCTGTGCTGGTGGACCAAAGGACACTGGTGGAGCTACAGGGCTTCCAGGCTGTGAGTGGCTCAAGCCAAGAGCTTGGGGAGGGTGGTCCATGAAGAGTGCAGGGTCCCACCTTATACCAGAGTGGGGTAGGCAGGGTGGTGTGGACAGGGAGACCCTCTGTTCCGGGGGCGCTTGGCACCATCCAACCTTGGGCCCAGGTGAGTGTGGATGCCTGAATCCACCTGTGCTGCCCACCATGAGGTAGACCCCTGTAAGAGCCAGCCACTTATCTACTGCCCTACAGCCCACCACCCAGGGTGCCTTCCTGAGGGGTTCTGGCCTGAGCCTGGTCTCTGGCCGCTTCACAGCCCCCATCTCTGCCATCTTCCAGTTCTCTGCCAGCCTGCACGTGGGTAAGCCAGGTGGCCATGTGGGTGGTGGGAGGCAGGGGTGGGCTGGCCTTGGGTGGGCACAGGCTGCTTCCTGGGATGCCTGGGCACCAGACTATGCTCCCTGAGCCTGCCTGTCATGAAGTCAGTGTCTCCACAGACCACAGTGCACTTCAGAGCAGGGCCCGGCTGCGAGCTCGGGACACTGTGCGTGTCCTCATCTGCTTGGAGTCCTTGTGTCATCACCACACGTGAGTGTCCCCCATGGGCCCAGGGCTGGGTAGTAGGTAGAATCTTGGTACCCCTGCTGACCCTGTGGTGCTGTCCCCAGGTCCCTGGAGACTGTCTCAGGCCTGGAGAGCAACAGCAGGGTCTTTACAGCACAGGTGCAGGGGCTGCTGCAGCTTCAGGTGAGAGCCAGGCAAGGTTACCCCCAGAGGTACTCCATGTGCTGTCCCTGTGGGTGGGCAGGGGCCAGGCTGGGGCTGTGTAGCTGCTGATGGCTGGATGGTGCCTGCAGGCTGGACAGTACGCCTCTGTGTTTGTGGACAATGGCTCTGGGGTGGCCCTCACCATCCAGGGAGGCTCCACCTTCTCCGGGGCACTCTTGGGCACGTGAGGGCACCAGGAAGGAACTGCCAGCCACCTTGGGGAGAAGGTGAAGAGGATCCCTGTGTTGACCCCTGTGGTTACAACAATAAAGAGCCCTAAGCCTCCCTGTTGCCTGTGGGTGCTGCCTGGTCATTGCGTTGGTGGAGATGGGAGCTGGAAACCTGATGTCTGGGGTGGGTTTGGGGAGCAGAAGGGAATGTCCACCTGTGACTCCCTGGGCATGGCATGGAGGGACATGACTGATGCCCCACACAGCTGGGTGGCGGCCAAGCTTCAGGCAGTTCTTGCCCCCAGCTGTGTTTACCAGGAGGACAAGGATAGATTTCCCTGCAGGTCCCCGCCCACTTGTCTGGTCTTGGTGGGAGCAATCTGTGTCCCCCCCAAGACCTGCTGTCATCTAGCTGGAGGCAGGGTGGTGGGATGTGGTGGAGTCAGGTGAGCACTACTAGATCAGATTCATAGTGATCCGTAGTGATCCGCCTGTTTACAGCCTCCCAGGATCTGGGATTTCAGGTGTGCGCCACTACGCCCAGTCTCAATTGCTGTCTCAGCATACCCCAGGGGCGGAGCTGGCATGGCAGTCCTGGGGATCGAATCCCCCGCCCCTGTATGCTACTTTCCCCATTGATAGCTGTGGATATGGGACATGGGCCGAGTACCCATTTACTGTGGCCCTCAAGCCATAGCCTAGGCCCTGTCTTCATGTGCTGTGAGTTTGAGCCCTTTGGGGTCAAAACCCTATTCCTACCCTATTTTGTCTTCAGCAAACCCAGACTTAAGTATGTAAATTGTTCTTGGCCTGGCTTGGGCTGCTGAGGCACCATCTCCACTGGCACCCATCCTCACAGGTGGCATTGGGCTTCTGGCCTCTGACCACCCCACAAATGAAGCAGGGGCCCAGTAGACCCTGGTGATCCTAACTCCAAGACTAGGTAGGCAGAAGCCTCCCCCATCCCAGCGTTCCCTTGAAGAGCGAAGGCTGTGGATTCAGTAGGAGGCTGAGGTGTCTGACAGCCGTCACCTTTCCCAGAACCCAGGTCTGCCCAAGTATGTGGGCACAGGGCTTGGCCAGTCAGGCACTGTGGTGGTGTCAGGTGGACTCTGATCTGTGCCTGGAATGCTTGCCCCCGAGCCATCTCCACCTCTCCCTGGGAACCTTGGTGGCATCAGAGCTGGGGCCACCTGGAGGCCACTGCAGCTACTGCCACCAGCCCCTTCTAATGAGGTGGGCCAAGCAGGTTACAAGACTAGTGTGGAGCATCCCCGGGGTCCTGAGGGTCTTGCCTGAGACAGGTTCCTTACCCCTTCTCCCATTTCCCCAGTACTATGACCTGGGTGGGCTACAGGGCATCCCCAGCCTGTAGGCCTGGGTTCTCCCCTGCAGTCCTAGCCCTGCTGGCACAGCCCTGACTCAGCCTGTAGGCACATTGCTCAGTGTTCACCACAGAGGGCAAAGGACCACCACTTTCTGAGTCAGGGAGACTGAAGGACTTCTTAGGGCCTGTCCTGAAGATGCTGAGGTCATGGGCCCTGAGGGGCTAGGGCAGGGAGGAGAGGGTGGCAGGATGTGTACAGAGCCCCAGGACAACAGAACCCTGGGGTCACCAGGCCTCCTCTGCCTACTCAACAGTGGTTCCTGGCTGGGGAGATAGATCAGTGGTCCAAGTGCCTGCCTGGCAAGTGCAAGGACCTGGTTCAATTCCCAATACCACATGCAATGCCAGCCCAGGAACCCTGGGTGTGCTATGCTGGCCACCAAAACTGGGCATGGTGGTGCACCCTTGTAACCCCAGCGCTGGGGAGGCTTGAGACAGGAGGATCACTATGAGTCAGAGCTGTGTAGTAAGGCCCTGCACAAAATAAATAAACGATTTAAAAAACAAAACAAAACAGAAAACAGTGGTTCCTTCTTGGACTAGGGCTGGGATCCACACACACCAGGCCCACAGCCAAGGGGTCTCCTGACTCACCATGGCAGCAAGCCCTCCACCCCTTCTCTGGGCTGAGATGATGGAGATGAAAACAACAGGATGGATGGAGCCCCAGAGCCCCACTAGGAGATGAGAGATGGGAGACGTGCAGACGGGCCAGCTGCAGAGCCAGGCTTGGGCAAGTGGCCAGGACTGGGGTGGGCCCTGTGTCTCGGCGCCTGACTACCTACATCCTCTGTCTCCTCTTCCCCCATTCCTGCTCCTCACTGGGGGTCATTAGCCACTTAGCTGCAATTCCCCTGGAATGTGGTTGAAGGACCAGCAACACAGGGTTTGTTGCTGGGCAGGTGGGAGCCAGAGACGAGGGGAACTAGGCCCCAGGCCCAGAGTGCACAAGCAGCCCGGCCTCCTGCTGCACCCAGCTAGACTATGTGGCTCTAGTGTCCTGAGGTGGACAGGAAACACCTTTCAACCCCCAGCCTGAACACCAGGCCTACGGGCTGCAGGTGTCTACTGCACCTGCTGGGGGCGGGTGCTGGCTGGGCCCCCTGCTTGGAGGAGCCCAAGGAAAGGCAGTTTTCTTCTGCATTCTTGCGTTTTGGGGCTGTACTAGGAGGGGGCCCAGGCATGTGACCACTTCCCAGCCTCAGCTGGAGCCAGAGCCAGAGCAGCTGGTCCTGTGCGGTGCTAGATAGCCTCAGTTTGACCCCTGAGCCCGAGCCTGCCCTAGAGCAGCAGGAGGCACTATCTGGCCTTGTGGATATGTTGCCAGGCCAACTTCCCAGAACCTCAGTCTGACCCAGCTAGGGCTAGGGTGGTGAGAGCCAGTGTTCCTGGTCAGCCTGGAGGAGTGATTTTGCTGCAGCCCAGCCTTATAGAGGGGTGGACTGAGCCCAGAGTGCTGGGACTATGCTGAATTCAGTCTTGGGCCAGTACTGGCCCCACACCCACACTCTTTATGCCCTGTTCCTGGGTTTGGACATAAACAGGAATGTAGACTTCATATTTGGGGTGGCTGGAATGTCATTTTGGGGCTGTGCAGGAGCCAAGAATGGGAGAGCTGGACAGGGCTGGGACTGTTGGCCATGGCCGGAGGCCAGGCTGCAGCTAGGGCCACCTATCTGGCCGTAGGTGGCTTTGCCAGTGAGAGGCAGCAGTCCCATCTGCCATGGTCCAGGGTACAAAAGGAGCTGGCCTGGTCCATGCAGCCAGGTCAGGCTGGAGGTTCTTCAGTTTAGCATCTCATCCACGGGCTCAGATCCTGTCCTCACTCGTGTCACCTGGGCTGAGAACCAAGAGTAGCCTGGTATGGGGGTGCTCTGGAGGGGCCTGAGCTCCACTTCCGTCCCTACCTGGTCACCCATGCTGGCAGGTGAGTGTCCACAGAGGTAACCAGGAGCCAGCGTCTTGAGAGTCCTCTGTGTCCATGCAGATGCTGTGTGTCGGGTACCAGGGATCCTTCAGGGGCTGGACCCACTGGGCCCCTGCAGTGCAGTCACAGGGCAGAGCCTGTGCTCACTACCCACCCAGCTCAGAGGGCTGTGGCAGGCAGCACATCCCTGCAGACCTGAAGCTCGGGATCCTGAGCTCTTGGGAGGCTGTAAACAGGCGGATCACTTCAAGTCTGATCTAGGAAGTCTGATCTAGGAGTGAGACCCTGAACACCCTGTAGACCCTTCCCTAAAATACAAAAAAAAAAAAAGAAAGAAAGAAAGAAAAAGAAAAAAAAAAATCACACACGGGGAGGTAGCTCAGAGGCATAGCACCTACCTGGCAAGCACAAGGATCTGAGTTTGATCCATAGTCGTCCCCCAGCGGCCTCAGCCCCAGAACCTGGGGTGTGCCATGCTGGCCCCCAAAACCAGACATGGTGGCTCACATCTGTAATTCCAGCACTCAGAAAGTTGAGATAGGAGGATCCCTGTGAGTTTGAGACCGTCAGCCTGGGGGCTACGAAAGTGAGCAGCACAAGGCCAGCCCAAACTATAGCAAGAACCTGTCTCGAAAACAAAAACTACACAGCTAACAGGGTTCTTTGTCATTAGTCAAGGAGAAAAACAATTTAAAGAAGTCTGTGGTCATGGTCCTCTGTGTCAGGGAGGCCCAGTGGCTTTTGTCATGCTGGACAAAGTCAGTTGGTGGGCTTAGGGCCTTGAGCTGGCTCCCTGGGATGGCCACGACCTGGGTAAGGGTGCTGGATGGAAATTTCAGGGTTCTGGGAGTAGTTACTGGGGGCCTCTCGTCCGTGGAGTCCTGCTGGCCTCAGGAATGTGGCCAGGAGCTAGGTAACATGCAATGTGTGGAGTCTGAGCCTACCACTACCGCTGGACACAGGTGGCCTGCCTCTGGGCTCCTGTTCAGACCACTCCAGCTCTGTGACCTCAGGTTCTGCTTGGTAGGACCTCACAGCCTGGGGCCTCCTGCAGCCTGAGGTCTCCCCAGCCTGGGCATGAAGCTGGGTCAGGGAGGGCTGGAAGGCAGGCTTGGGGGCATTGGTATCTCTGCCTGCCTGTGAATCTGACAGTTGCTCCGGTGGGCCAGGAAGGAAGGCTTGGGGACAAAGGGTCTTTGTTCAGGAGAACGTGGGGTGCAGCCTGCTTTGGGGCAGTGACTCATGGGTTGCTTGGCTATGATAACATCAATTTCGAAACAGGCATGGCACATGTATGGCCTGGCAGGCTCCTGCCCTTACCTGTGCATGCAGCGCTGAGACGGCCCCACTGGGCGAGGGCGTGCGAGGTCACTGTGCGATGCTGAGTGTTCGAGGCTGAGCAGTCTCCATTTCTGCAGCAAAGGGTTTTCTCAAGCAATGCCCCAGTTCCCCTAACCCTGCCTTGGCTCCCCCTACTTCTGCAAGCCCAGCCCCAGCAGAGAGCTGTCCCCACCACTGGCCCAAGCACATACAGGACACTGAGGTCCAAGGACCCTTTTCCAGGCAACGGCCTGTGATTCTCAGACAGCAGGGCTGGGTGCTGTGGGGAGGCAGGCGAGACACAGTGGCCCTTCTGACGCCACCCGGGGAACTGAGCCGGCGCTGGCCATCCATCACTCCTCTAGGGATCAGAGGTTGGCGGCTGAGGGGCCACAGGACTCCTTGGGGGAGGCTGGGCCAACCGAGACCCTCAGACGCCAGTGGGGGGAGGAGCCGGGCTTGAGTTTCCTTCTCCCTGGGT